GCTGACTCTACAGGGTCCTCCCATTGCTCCCAAATATTTAACCACAAGTGACCCCTTTCCTTGCTATTTTTCCACATGGGCTTCACACTTTTAACTGTCTTTTCTACCAAATTGTGTAACCACCTGTAAAGCTCAGAAAACGCTAACACCCTTGACGTGATGAGGCAGGCTTGCTGTGAGAAAGCATACTGTCTGCTCAGGGTTTTAAATGAACAGCAACAGTTCAGAGACCCCCTCATGCTACCTTTGGGACCCCTCAGCTGGAACGACATCAAGGCTTAGACCCTCAGGCCCAGGGAACACCACTTCTTGTGGGCTTTGCAGAGTTTAAGATTCTTGCATTTAGTCAACCTGACAGATGTCATGCTGCTTTGATTGTCTGAAATTGTTTCCTTTTTGCTCTCCTATATAATTTTGTAAAGTTATTTTTGGAACTATCGGTTCAAGTCAATTCTTCAAGTGGGAATAGAGTGAACCTTGAAAGTCCGTTTATGCCACAGGTTTAAAGGGGGGAGGGGTACATCCACCCCATGTAGTGCAGGGTCTTAGCTCGTATGGTGGGAAACTCTGCTTTGGATTTTACAAAGGGATGTTCTCTCTCCCTTGCCCTCCGGGACACTGTGCATGTGGGTTAACTTCTGCGACATGTGCAATCAGCGATGGATTTTCTCTGGATCTGTGTCCCCTGCTTGCTTCTGACTCCTCCCCACTTCTCCCTTCTCAGCAACAGACGTTCTGCCTTGACTCTTCCATCTTCAATTGCTCTTTCTCCCTCCCTTCTGGGTTTGGTGGTAGAGAATTTAGATGTTTAATGACCCCTTGTGTTAACATTCTGGGGAAACACTGGCAATTTACAGCACAGATGTCAAACCCATGCACCTACAGGAGCCAGTTATATAAATTAATAAAGTGGTTCAGTTGTAAAATGAATCAAAATACACAAAAACACCACCTCCTTGCTCCATTTTTCATTTTCGCACTTTTGATAGACACTTGGCTAAAATAAAGATGTCACTGTATAAGAAAAGCAATGTTGTAAGCACAATAATAGCTGGTATCAGACACCAGCCTTAGCACTGGGGAGGCAATAAGGAGTGGTGGGGGTTGGGGAGAACAGGAAAGAGACCTTGTGCCCCACTGAAAAGGTGCTGCTGCTACTTAAATCAGCAGAGGGAGGCCGCATGTGAGAGCTTTGCTGAGGGGTGTCAATCATCTGGTTTCTCAAGGTAAGTGAGACATCCAGATTTTATATGAAATCTCACATTCTAAACTCTTAACGTTTTATTCAAACACTGTACAGACTTAATAAAACCTGTCGGCAGGCAAGCTCTACCAGTTTGTGGTCTTTGACACACAGCTCTTACATAAGTCACCTGGAACGATTCCCACTGGCCAGTCTTGCCCCATCTAGCCCCTGACGGCTCCATCCCTCGATGCACTGCGCTGTGGGCAGCTGTTCACAGGATCACAGTTCCTGACACAGGAACATATCTACGCTGCTCTCTCCTCGCTCGGCATCCTTGTCACAGGCTCTTCCTCTTGCCTCTGCTCCTTGAGGCCCGGGGTCACCCCTGGCTCATGACAGAACCCTCTCTGGGGATCTTCCTTATGTTGGGGACCTGTTTGGTCATCTTCTCTGGGCCTCTCTGACCCTCTTTCCACCCCCACACTCCAGTCCACTCTTCGGTCATACGCTCTCTCGGCTATTACTTTTCTCTGGCATCTGAAGCTTGGGAGAGAAATTATTCCACCAGCTTTAATTCACCATCTCTCAGCCAAACCTCGTTGACCTCTGTCCCTAGGACAGCCACCAGCTCTCATGGTTTTAAGCATCTCCACTCACTCCCCACTGAGACCCAGCTCCCCAGAAAAGGGATTTTGCTGAATGGGATTAACAGAAAACGGGCTGTGCATTTGGGGCAAAATGCCTTGCTGCTGGTGACATTTAAACTCCTGCAGATGTCAGTGCAGCATCTGAAGACATATTATTGTGCCCTTTATCTTGCTCTTTAAACCTGACAGTGCTCAGTAGGAGGCCACACAATTGAGGAGAAAGCTCAGTACATACATTAGAAACGTGTTGCAGACACTCTGCAGGCTCAGGGACATGGCCCCACAACGTTGTGTGGGAAAGCAAGAAGTTTTAAAAATTCTAAAAGTCAACTTAGGAGCTAGAAACTTTGAAAGCAAGTGGAAAATTGTGCTGACATTTATTGTACAGTTATAACTGTAGTGGCTAACACTGAGAAACGACAGCAGAGGGTAACTATGGCTAAAATACTTTTAGGATAACACAAAAATGTTAAATGGGCTATAAAACATAGACAAGAGGTTTCAGTTTGTAAGAGAAAATAATTTCCTTTGAGTATTACACCTGTCTTCTGGCCACCGTCTTGGAAGCTGAGAGGTCAGCGTTTAAAGTCACAACTTCAGCTCTGATCCCTGGGAGATGAAACTGCAAATCAGGATTTAAGCCCCCTGGAACTTGTGGAATGACTTATTGATAAAGTCTGACCATACGATAATAGAAAACATGTTCTGGAGGAAAGAAGTGAAAAATTCAAAAGTCTGAAGACAGAAAGGGAATGAATATTTTTCAATACAGTTAAATGTTTAACAATCTGCGAGTGAAGTCACAAATGTGTTAATTCTCAGGTTGGAGGTTGGGAAAAGCACTCAAAGGGCAGTTGAGAAGTCACTAGCAGGATGCATGACATGTAATTCTGATGAGCAGCCCTGGGGCCCATGGTTGGCACCTCAGGATGCGGCATGCTCAGCCCTCTCCAGATTCACACCACCTGCTTAAGCCAGAAACCTGGGAGTGTGCCATCTCTGATGCCTCCGTCTCCTAGTCCAGCCCATCAGATAAGACCAGTTGGCTCCACTGCTCTACGAGTCCCTTTCTGTTGCTTATAACGAAATATGGAATTGTGTGATTTAGAAAGAAAACAAAATTTATTGTTTACAGCTTCAGAGGCTACAAAGTCCAAAGTCCAGGGAATGCAGCTGATAAAGGCCTTAGTGGTGGCAACAGTGATGGCAGAGAATAATATTGTGAAAATGGTGCAGCAGAGAGAGAGAGATTA